TTAAACTGAAGCGCTTCTGCACAGCAAAAGATGCTATCATCAGAGTGAACAGGCAACCTACAGAATGGGAGAAAATTTTTGCAATCTATCCATCTGACAGAGAGCTAATATCCAGAATCTACAAAGAACTTAAACAAATTTCCAAGAAACAAGCAACCTCATCAAAAAGTGGCCGAAGGATATGAACAGACACTTCTCAAAAGAAGACATCTATGCGGCCAACAAACATACGAAAAAAAGCTCATCATCACTGGTCATTAGAGAAATGCAAATCAAAACCACAATGAAATACCCCTCTCATACCAGTTAGAATGGCGATCATTAAAAAGGAAACAACAGATGCTAGAGAGGATGTGGAGAAACAGGAACGCTTTTACACTGTTGGTGGGAGTGTAAATTAGTTCAGCCATTGTGGAAGACAATGTGATTCCTCAAGGATTCCATTGTGATTCCTCAAGGATCTAGAACCAGAAATACCATTTGACCCAGCAATTCCATTACTGGATATATACGCAAAGGATTATAAATCATTTTACTATAAAGACACATGCATACATATGTTTATTGCAGCACTGTTCACAATAGCAAAGACTTGCAACCAACCCAAATGCCCATCAGTGATAGACTGGATAAAGAGAATGTGGCACATATACACCATGGAATACTATGCAGCCATAAAAAAGGATGAGTTCATGTCCTTTGCAGGTACATGGATGAAGTTGGAAACCATCATTCTCAGCAAACTAACACAGGAACAGAAAACCAAACACTGCCATGTTCTCACTCATAAGTAGGAGTTGAACAATGAGAACACTTGAATACAGGAAGGGGAACATCACACACCGGGGCCTGTCAAGGATGGTGGGCTAGGGGAGGGATAGCATTAGGAGAAATACCTAACGTAGATAACTAGTCGATGGGTGCAGCAAACCACCATGGCACATGTATACCTATGTAACAAACCTGCACATTCTGCACACGTATCCCAGAACTTAAAGTATAATTTTAAATAATAATAATAATAGAAAAGTGGCTTCATGTAGCTGTTAGCTTAGCTTGCTCTCTTGCCCTTCTGCCTTCCGCTGTGTGAGGGCTCAGCAAGAAGGCCCTCCCCAGACACCAAATGCCGGCACCTTGATCTTGAACTTCCCAGCCTCCAAAACTGTGAGAAATAAACTTTATATATTACCCGATGTCGGGTGTTCTCTTATAGCAGCACAAACGAACTAAGACATTTTCTGACTAAATGAAGTCACTTTACCCAGCTAGAAGGATAGTCACAGGATCGTTGTTTTATTGTTATTGTTGTTTAAAAAATGTGTGTATATATGTGTGTGTGTGTGTGTATGTCAGTCTCCATATATATTATATATATTATATATATAATATTGGTCCCTCTCTCTACATACACACACACACACACACACGTGCACACACACACATTCCACATTAGAAATACTACAGTTTGGCCGGGCGCAGTGGCTCACGCCTGTAATCCCAGCACTTTGAAAGGCTGAGGCGGGTGGATCACCTGAGATCAGGAGTTCAAGACCAGCCTGGCCAACATGGTGATACCCCATCTCCACTAAAAATACAGAATTATCTGGGCGTGGTGGCACATGCCTGTAATCTCAGCTACTCAGGAGGCTGAAGCAGTAGAATCACTTGAACCTGGGAGGCGGAGGTTGTAGTGAGCCGAGATCGCGCCATTGCACTCCAGCCTGGGCAACAAGAGCGAAACTATCTCAAAAAAAGAAAAAAAAGAAATACTGTGGTTCTAAAATTTGGATTTATGTGTCAATTAGATGTATGGCACTATTAATTTCAGTTTAATTCAGTTCAGTACATGTTTTTCGAGTACCTACTGTGTACAAGGAACTGTGTGAGGTACCTTTTGAGCACTTCACTTGCTCTCCAGAGATGCCTACTGAGTGTTGCATTGCAGAAAAGAAGTGCAGTGGCATGTTGGAAGAAGGGGGACTCATATCTAGCTTTGGTCTGTTGAGCCAAATAAACAGATCTTCTAACTGTCTGTTCTTCCCTACTAGATCTAAGTGCTCACAGAAAAAGGGCTGTCATTCACTTTGTATACCCAGGACCTGGGAGGTGCTTGGCACATGGTGGGTAACCAACAAATATCTGTTAAATGGAGCACACTGAGTGAGCAGAAAGATGTGATGGAAGTCTGCGAGGCAGGCAGAGGCAAGTGTAGGACTCTGACTGTCAGTGATGGGTGTGAGGCTACTTCTGGTAAGGAGACTATTGTGTAGGCTCAGACACCTGCAGGAGGGCAACCAGAAGTTCAGCATGGGTGAGGCCAGGGATTCCCTTGCCAGGGTTAGCAAACTAGGGTCCACAGGCCAGCCCCATCCATTCATGTACCTGTGGTCTGTGGCAACTCTTGTGCCTTATCAGCAGACATGAGTAGATGCAGCAGAGAGGAGTTGCAGTATATAGATAGCCTGGTAAGCCGAAAAGACTTAGTATTTGTTTCTTTATGGAAAGAGTTTGCTGAACTCTGCCATAGAGGCATAGAACAAAAATGAGTGCAGTTACCTTAGGGGGCCCCATTGTAAAGTGGCGATGCATACTTGGTTTTCTTTTGATCGGGAGACTGACCTGATTGGAGATAGTATGGTTTAGGAAAGTTGACATGTGAGTGATTCGGTGGACTGGAGCTTTTGGGAAAGGGACCAAGTATAAGAAAACCAATTAGGATATTACAGCCATCTGTTCAGGCATCATTGAAGAAAGAGCATCAGTTTGAGTCTTATCTAAGCATTGGGTTGGCATGTATTATCTCCTAGGCTAGAAACCGTTGCCCTTCTCCCAGTTCATGTCACTAAATTGGGGGTCCACCTCACAGCTCCAGAAACCTCAGGTCAACCCCACCCAACTGGTCACATGCTAACTTCCTCTCTGGTGATCTTTGCACAAACATTTAACTCACAGCATGGTGTCTGGTTCTTGCTGACATCAACTTTGTAACTGTTTTCAGATTATTTTTTCTTTTCTCCACAGTAACTCTCAGGCTTCTTGAGGTCAGAACCATGCATTCTTGTTTTGCTCCTACCTCCCCACCTGCCTGCCCCTCATGCTGTGTCAAGTCCGCACGTGAGAAATAAGACAAGAGTCACTGGCAGCAAAGTGAGTGCTGACATTTAAATATGGAGGCAAGTCTGGGCCTCCGGACTCCAAGCACCCAGTGCCTGTGGCCTTGCTCACTGTTTTTCATATGTTGTCCTCTGGTCTTGTTTGTAAAGTGACCTGTTGCACAACCTCTCAGTACCCTGAAGGGCAGTGACTGTGTCCACACCTCTTTGTGTTCTCGGTGGTTAGCATAATATTTTTAACATAACAGACCCTTTTTAAATGTTTGGTGATGACACAGTCACTGAGCAGGATATGCTGTAAGAAGAAAACATACTCTCCCTCATTCTGTGAATTAGTCAGAATATATCAGGTTAATAACGGTAAGAGCAAGCATCTGTTGGTCTGATGCACCAACATCTATCGGATCAAGCAATTAAGCCCATGTCAGTCATTTTGGTACAATAGAACTAAAATTAGACACAGCATAAATACAATCAAGACATGAGCACGTTTCCCAGCATTAGCCTTACGATAACAAAGGCAAATGCAGAAGCGTGCGGACTTCCAGGACGGGTCCGGAGATGGCTGTTCCAGAGAAGAGCCAGGGTGGATGGCAGGAAGCGGTGGCTGGGATGGAACCTCCAGTCCACATGTGATACCTCTTTTACATCTTCACCCTAAGCCCTACCAGGAGTTTGAAGTGCAAAAGTTTTAGAAATATAAACCAGGTTTTACTTAATAATATTCGTTAATGACCTAAACCAAGAGAGAATCTCCTACTTAATGAAGTGATTAATTAGCTCTGGGAATTGAAGTTGAAAACAGAAGACTAATTGATTAATAGATTACTGTGTTCGTTTTTCTTCCTTTCATGGAAAGGAGCCACAATTTGGTCCATGCCAGGTTTGCTGCTTTGGGCTAGCACCATGCTGCCTGGAATCTGTTCTCGTCTTTCCCACGTAGCCTGTCTGCTTCCCATCCTGGTGCCTTTCTTCCTGCCCTCTCCACAGACGGAAGGCCCTCAGTTTAAAACCTTGCTCTTTCAGGCTCAGTGCACATCTCATCCCCAGGATGGATTTGCGCTCTTCTGACACTACCGAGGTCTCCTTTAAGTCACCGCTTTACCTAATCAATACCATACAGCTTAGCATTTAATTTTTCTTATTGCTTTATGTGTGGAATAATGAAAAAGAATTAAAAGATTGAAAAACCAAACATCTCCCCTCACTTGCATTAGGCGTGTGAAATCTGACCTCACTGAGCTGGTGAGAGGCCTTCCCAACACAGCTGTGAGCACCAAATGAAGTGATGTAGGGAAGATTCCTTATAAACTAAAAAGTCCGCACAACGTTTAGTTATTGGCATCATCAGTATGATTATTTTATATATTAATCTTAGCTTCTCTACTACATTTGTACTTAAAATCTCCAGCCAAAAGTCAGCAAATTTTTCTTTCTTTTTTTCTTTTTTTTTGAGACAGAGTCTCACTCTGTCGTTCAGGCTAAAGTGCAGTGGGCTCATCTCACTGCAACCTCTGCCTCCTCAGCTCAAACGATCATTCTGCCTCAGCCTCCCGAGTTGCTGGAACTATAGGCGTGTGCCACCATGCCTGACTAATTTTTTTTTTTTTTTTTTTTTTTTGTAGTAGAGAGAGGGTTTCACCATGGTGGCCAGGCTGGTCTTGAACTCCTGACCTCAGGTGATCCACTTGCCTCACCCTCCCAAAGTTCTGGGATTACAGGTGTGAGCCACCACGTCCTGTCAAAAGTCAGCAAATTTTTTAACATCCCTTATGAATGGGCTTTGCTCTGTGCCCATTTTAAAAAGTCGGACTTCTTCAAGTTACCTACTATCACTGTAGGTAGAAGGATAGGGAAGACCCCACATGAAACAGTTAGAGAACTTACATGATAATGGTAAGCACCTGGTGTCAGCCCAGTCTCTGTGTCCCTCCTCACAGCTCCCTCGGCCCCTGGGAGTCCTCACACAGATGTCTATGACAGCCCTCAGCCTCCAGGGGCTTCCCCAACCCACTTAGTGTTACAAAAAGAAGCAGAAGCTGATCAGAGAGGAGGTTGGGGAAATTTGGCCGTGTGCTCAGAGGCACTGGTAGCGAAGTGACTTTTTCCCAGACAGGCTGGTCTCCCGTAAGAGGGAGAGAGAACTGACAGATTACACAAGAGAACAAGGCTCTGTCACCGTCAAGGTCAGAAGCCTGCCGCTACTCTCGTTATGTGTTGCTAGCCAACACACTCCTTCAGTTTGTTTCCAACTGATCATCTTTCTGTCTTCTGCCTTCCCAGTTCATAATCTGCACTCTCTTCCCTCTCCATGGACCCCAGAGCAGATAGATCATTCTGTTGGTTTCAAATACAATTTAGTGGCCATCTTCCCTCCCATCTTTTTCATTAAAAAAAAAAAAAAAGTTCTAACCACTGCTTTTCTAATCACCACTGTTCTAGCCACTAGGACTTTCTGTCCTCCACAAACCTATTGCTGTTAAAATATTTGTTTTGATTGTTCTAGGTGGTAAATGTTGCCTTATGGGCTTTGTTCCAACTTGCATTACTTTTTGCAAGGAGGATACTAAGTCAGTTCTAGTACATTGAGTCATACCATGACTGAGAATAGTGAAAGTGCAAATTCTTTATTAATACAGAAGTTAAAGATGAGGTAGTCATGTAGAAAACAACCTGCATTGATTAAATAAACTATGATTCTGGTTTAGTGATTCTAATTAATCACCAGAGTTAATAAAAATGTTAATTGTGGCTGGGCGCGGTGGCTTATGTCTATAATCCCAGCACTTTGAGAGACTGAGGTGGGTGAATCACCTGAGGTCAGCAGTATGAGACCAGCTTGGCCAACATGGCGAAACCCCATCTCTGCTAAAAATACAAAAAATTAGCCGGGTGTGGTGGCAGCACCTGTAGTTCCAGCTACTCAGGAGGCTGAGGCAGGAGAATCACTTGAACCTCGGAGGCAGAGATTGCAGTGAGCTGAGATTGCACCATTGTACTCCAGCTGGGGCTACAAGAGCAAAACTCCATCTCAAAAAAAAAAAAAAAGTCACTTGTAATTATTTTTTTGAAGTCTTCATGTTCTAAGTCAAGACTTAAACTAACCCTTTTTTTTTTTAACAAATAGTTAATGGTTACTTGGTGTGACATATTTAGAACTTCCCAGTAATTTTTATCATCTTGACTGGTCTTCAGTATGAAAGATGTTTTATAATTTCATGCTAACTTACATAAATGTAGCATTTGATTTTCAAATAACTAAGTCACTAGCTAATCAGTTCTACTTATCTTCAAGTGTTATGAGGTAGATGTAAATTCCATGAGGGCAGGGAGTCACCCATAGGCGAATCATCTACTTTATTCCCTGCATTATCTTTAGCATCTAAATCAGTGTTCAGCATACACTGTGGTCACTAGATAAATATTGAACAAATGAATGAGTGAGCTATAGACATAAACTATAAGAAACTCATAAAAATCTTTTCTAAAAATATAGAATCATATATTATAATGTTAAACTTATACCGGAGGTATAAGTAGCAAACAAATAGGAGGAATTTAAAAATTCTTTGCCTCGAATCTGAACTATCACATTCAAGGCTTAGATTTTAGTGATGCCCATTTCTCATAAATGCATTAAAGTCACTCCATTAAAACTTGATTCTCAGCCAGGCGCAGTGGCGCACGCCTGTAATCCCAGCAGTTTGGGAGGCCGAGGCAGGCGGATCACCTGAGGTCAGGAATTCGAGACCAGCCTGGCCAAACATGGCGAAACCCCGTCTCCAGTAAAAACACAAAAAAATTAGCTGGGTGCGGTGGCGTGCACCTGTAATCCCACATACTTGGACAGATGAGGCAGGAGAATTGCTTGAACCAGGAGACGGAGGTTGCAGTGAGCTGAGATCATGCCATTGCACTCTAGCCTGGGTGGCACAGCGAGAGACTCTGTCTCAAAAAAAAACTTTATTCTCAACTGAAAGTACCACCAGTGAGTCTAATCCATTTTGGTACACAGATCATATAAATAGTTCTTAATCGTCTTCAGTTTTCTGATCTACATTCAGCAGTGTTTATGGAGACCGATGTAAAGATAGGTGCAGGGCAATTACAATGTTAGAAAAAATGTCACACTAGAAGTTCTTTTTAAGTAAGTCTATAAATAAAAAGTTCACCAGTGTTGTTTTCTATAAACCTGTCTTTGGTATAATTAGTATTTCTTTTAATTATTCTACTTTTTACCTTTAGAATCTTCTATTACTGTTTGACGTGCCAATTTCAATTCCCTGAATTCCAGTTGTAATACTTTGTTTTCAAGTATTATAAAAATATCTTAATGTTCTTTCTGTAGCAGATCACTCTTTTGGTTCATTGTGTCCAGTTGTGGAGTTTTAAAGTGTTATTTTTCAAGTTGTAATGAGAACTAGAAGGTATTTAAACTTGGCTTTAAAAACCTATTTTGGGCCGGATGCAGTGGCTCACACCTGTAATCCCAGCACTTGGGGAGGCCGCGGTGGGCAAATCACTTGAGGCCAGGAGCTGGAGACCAGCCTGGCCAACGTGGCAAAATACTGTCTCCACCAAAAAGACAAAAATTAGCCAGGCATGGTGGTGCCCGCCTGTAATCCCCGCCACTAGGGTGGCTGAGGCAGGAGAATTGCTTGAATCCGGAAGGCAGAGAGGGCAGTGAGCTGAGATTGTGCCATTGCACTCCAGCCTGAACAGCAGAGCAAGACTCTGCCTCAAAAAAAAAAAAAAAAAAAGGAAATAAAACCTATTTTGAACGATTGGGAATGCAAAGATGGCAGCTACACACCTCCCTGTTTAATTGCTCCAGTCAACAGGAATCATAAATAATTACACAATTTTTTTTTCTTTTTCCTTCACTTTTTTTGTTCTTTCTTTCTTTCTTTCTTTTTTTTTTTTTTCAAGACAAGGTCTTGCTCTGTCACCCAGGCTGGAGTGCAGTGGTGCCATCATGGCTCACTGCAACTTCAGTCCCCTTGGCTCAAGCGATCCTTCTGAGTAGCTGGGACTACAGGTGTGTGCCATCATGCCCAGCTAATTTTTTTTTAACTGATATTTTGTAGAGATAGGCTCACATTATGATGCCCTGGCTGGTCTTGAACTCCTGGCCTCAAATGATCCTCCCTCTTCAGCCTCCCACAATGCTGGGGTTACAGGTGTGAGCCACCATCCCCAGCCACAGTTTCTTTTGATATATGAAGAGCTGGGTGCAATGTCCCGAATCTCAATTCAGAATGCAGATCAGGAGGACTCTTCGAGTCTGGCACCTCCGACCCGCCCAGAAAAACGACTGTGGTATAGAAGAACAGCCTTGTAGGACTTGAACCTTCTCAGGCCTGCCTCTCAAAACAACATGACTTGAAAATGTTTCGTTTTTCTTGTATGGTCTCACTTGCCAAACCTCCGAAAGCAATTTGAGAGTAATTTCAACCAAATCTTTTAGCAGGCCTTGTGAAAAATAAATTTAACCTGTTAATTGTGTGCCGTTTGGATTTGTCTTGGCATCTCAATATGTAAAAGGTTAAAATGATGGCCACAAGAAGTCAATAAAGCTTGATTATTCCAGTTGAAAATTCATCCATGGGTACTCTTGTGCCTGGCTTTCGTGTTGACCTCATTGCCATATGACCACCATCAATAGCTCTTTATATTTAATCAATTTCCTAAAAAAGCCACACACACACATTTATCGTGTTTGTAGTCTTTTTGTTCCATTATAGTTGATGTAGCCTAGCATTGCAGTTTTTGTGTGTGTGAAATATCTGACATTCTATGCTTTAGTACTTTTTATTTCGTTACTTAATTGTGTCACCCCTGCCTGCCTTCCCAACCCCACTGACTGTGACAGTGTTTTTGCAAATGAAACAGTTCAATGAGACCTGGGAATTTCCTATGGCATTTATGTGGTCTCACGCTCGTCTCTATTTGCCAGATATCATCCGTGTAAGAACCATGCTCAATAGATACATTTTGGAGAACCAGTTATCTCGTTTTCTCATTCACCAATGAGTCTTGAAAGGCCGAATTCAAGAAAACAAGTTTTTAAGATCTTCCTCTCTCAGTCCACAAAAGAAAAAATGGGCTTATTACTGTCACCGCTGCCTTTAATTATGTACAGTCACAATACAATTATCTCCCTATTTGGGTGTTATCTCCTCTGCCAGATCACCAACGCCTCAAAGTGAGAGAGCACAGCTTCTGTTTATTGTTCATCCTTTGAAATGCCTTAAAAGGAAGCTGAGTACACAGTTGACCCCCTAGCCAGAGGGGATTGATCATGGTCTGGGGCTGGGGAGAGGCCTCTGTGATTCTTCCCGAAAGGTCACTCTATCCAGAATGATAAGTCCTCAATTTTTAGAATGTGGTTGTTAGGTAAAGGGATTAATTCAAGGAAGAGATTTTAAGACTGCATCATTGATTTTGTTGTTTTGGATAAGAACATGGAATTGGCTTTTCTGTAAATTGACTGCATTATATAATGCACAGGTTAAAGTGATCCTGCCACTTGAATTCTTTCATGGTTATTTGATTATTTTCAGAATATCTTGACATTTGAAAGGCATACAGACAAAAGCCAATCATGTAAATAATTACATTTAGAGGAGTAAAAGGCAGCCATCAGTCTTTTTTTACTTCACCATTTTTAACCATTTGGATTCAAAGCTGGATTTTATTTCAACTAAATAGAACAGTTATATCCAATTTAATGTGCAACTGTAACCAGTCAGACCCAGAAATTTTGAATAGCATTTGTAATTTTTAATCACAAAATTAATGGCATTAAACTCTAACAGAATAGATTCCATTTGTTAATTTTTTCTAATCAAACTTCAGATATTTATTCATGCCTCAGGTGAGAAATGTCTCACCAGACACCAGTTAAATGAAAAGTAAATCATACCTTTTTTTTTCTTTTTTTTTTTTTTTGAGGTGGAGTCTCGCTCTGTCACCCAGGCTGGAGTGCAGTGGCACAATCTCGGCTCACTGCAAGCTCCACCTCCCGGGTTCAGGCCATTCTCCTGCCTCAGCCTCCCGAGTAGCTGGGACTACAGGCGCCCGCCACCTTGCCCAGCTAATTTTTTGTATTTTTAGCAGAGACGGGGTTTCACCATGTTAGCCAGGATGGTCTCGATCTCCCAACTTCATGATCCACCCACCTTGACCTCCAAAAGTGCTGGGATTACAGGTGTGAGCCACCACGCCCGGCCAGTAAATCATACCTTTTTAAAATAGCATTTCACATTAATTATACTTATTTAGTTAACATTGAGGTTATCTATTATTGCATAAGATACCGTTGATTTTAGTTGCATATCATATGCAGGTAACTGCTTGCTTTCTTTTTTTTTTTTTTTTTTTTTTTCCTGAGACGGAGTATCGCTTTGTCACCCAGGCTGGAGTGCAGTGGCATGATCTCAGCTCGCTGCAACCTCCACCTCCTGGGTTCAAGTGATTCTCCTGTCTCAGCCTCCTGAGCAGCTGAGATTACAGTGCATGCCACCGTGCCCAACTAGTATTTGTATTTTTAGTAGAGACGGGATTTCATCATATTGGTCAGGCTGGTCTCGAACTCCTGACCTCAGGTGATCCACCTGTCTCAGCCTCCCAAAGTGCTAGGATTACAGGCGTACACCACCGCTCCCAGCCACAAGTAACTGCTTTCTTTGTTCTTACCCAAAAGATAAGCCAAAGTAAAATAGAATATATTTGCTACTTAATACCTATGAAACTAGATTGTTCTAATGTATAAAGGAAATTGACCAATATGTTTTATATAT